AGCAAGACTCTTCTCAGAGAGAGGATGAGAGGCAATGAGCAGAAACTGAAATAAGGCAAATCCCCCTTAAACATGAGAAAAAGCAGCAAAATTTGGTGAACACTGGTGCAGGTGGCTCAGATATCTTGTGCAGTCTTAATATCTGAGGATATCCAAAACCCAACTGGATATGCTCAGCAACCTGCTCTTAATGACCCTGCAGTAAGACTGAGGGTTGAACTAAACAATCTTCAAAGGTGTCCTCTAGCCTCCACTGTTCTGTGACTTTTTTTCAGTTTCATTTCATGCTGCTTATTATGCTGTTCTTTTGCATAAAATGCTCAGTGTCTTTAGTTAGGAGCCAGGTGAAGCAATTGGAGGTTTGCCATCTCAACTGAGGACAAACAGCAGCGTTGAGCTGCAGATCTCTCCAGGTGATGTAGCCAGAGGGCACTCTTTGGATTGGAAACAGATTTTCTCCCATTGGATTTTCCGTTTTCCCACATAGTACATTGGAGCTAGTATGATACAATTTATGGTGATCAGGGAGAATAGAGCAGAGAGTCTGAAGGGTCTTCCAACCTCTTCTCAACCTTCCCAATAGTGCTGTCTGTTACAGCATTAATTTATGTGATGTGATCAGTGCCAATACAGTTGTTCAGTCCTTTCCCCACCCTCTGTTTAGGCTAGGGTTGTGTCCATCCCTGTCAGTACACTGATTCACTAAAGTTCAGCAGTACTGCACCACAGAGCCAGCTGAGCAAAGCTTAACTTCATGTCATGACAGTCAAGAAAACATAATACATCAAGGTTTGTCATGCATTTGATGAGACTGAGATCTCTGTTGAAATAAAGAAACCCACTCATTTCATGTTAATTACAAATGTAATTAAAGTCTGTACATTGAATTTGTGCTACAGTGCACAGGATGAGGTCAAGATACTTGTGGTAAAAAAAATGAAATGTAAAATCTTTTAATTATTACTTTAGATATTGCAAACAGAACTAGTGGAGGCAACAACAGGAGAACACTGAAGCTTATTCATCAGTGAGAGTAAATCATCTGGAAAATGAGAACAAATTTTCTGGCAGTTTCAGGCTGGCTTTGTGGGGGATATTCACTATACCACACTCATGATCTAAACCTAGGAGAAGATCCTGAAAATATGTTGAGTATAACATTTTTTTTAACCTTTCATATGTTTGATTCCATGTTTCTTATACAAATCAGTGTAAGGGCAAGTTCACATTATATAAAGACACAATTGAGCTATATAAATTTGCAGTGAGATATGCAGCACTGGAGCCTAGCATGAGAGGGATCCATTTGGGTATAGTGGGTAAAATTGGATATCCCTGGAATTTATAGCTCTCATAAATGGTATTCTGTATAAAAATGTCTTATTTTAATTGTGCTAGATTGTATCAACCCAGATGCTTGTCTGGCAAAGGAGACATTGTCCTGTATTTGGAATCATGATGGTTCCTCATTGTAGGATCTTGAGGGCCTTCAGGGTGTCATACTAGAAGATATAGCAGATTCATCTTGCATGCTGTGTGTGCTGCAGCGCTGCCAAACTAATTTAAAAAATAATTATATTGCTTGCATACCTCTTGCATGCCTAGCTGTGTGCTGTCAGGCATTAATGGTCACAGTGCCCTAGCTGTGTGCTGAGCTGGGTCTCTTTCTCAGAAGTAGGTGTTCACAATATACAAAGGGCTAGATCCTAGTGATCAGAAAACTTCACAGCTACACAAGCAGTGGTATGGCAATATCTGTCTGCATCATGTTGAAAATCTGGTCCTTAAACAGCATTTTAAAAGAAGTGTTTCTTGCTTTTGTGGTTAAATTCTGCCACGTGCAGCATTTCAAAGCATCACTGTGGAAGGTCTGTTCCACATTTCTCAGGCCTAAAGCACAGTCAACTACATACCTAACTACATACCTATCAACTGCATAGCTAAGGCCTTTCCATTCCCATTAGCTTCAGGAATTGGCCTCTCTCAGGTCTTCTATTAACAACCTAATTAAGGACATGGCAAGGGTTATCATATGCTTTGATTTCCCAAATATTTTTTAATGATTATTTATTTGTCATTTTTAAATGCAAGGCATTTAAGTCAGTATTAGAAGTAAGATATTGTACTGCTTTAGCTTTTATTCCGAAAGAGTAGAACAATAATAGAATTTCAGTTTGATATAACATAAGACTGTCATAAATACCAAACTGCAACTTCTATGTTTATGAGACTAATTATATAGCTGATAATTTGCTGTGTATGTTTCTTTGTAGTCATGGTTTCAGCTTTAAATCAGACATGTAGAGACTAATTTTCTTATATAATGTAATAAATAATGTTTATTGTGCAGTGACTTCAGTGGTTTAGTGTTCTGAGTTCCATAACATAGCCAGTGCTGCTGTCAGCCTGAAGATTTTTCCATGGGTCTTACTATTAAAAACAAATTAAAAGTCCTCATTGGATTCATAGCCAATGGAATCCTGGGATGCATTGAGAAAAGTATTGCCAGCAGGTTGAGGAAGGTGATCCTAACTCTTTACTCAGCTCTCATGAGGCCACACCTGGAGTACTCTGTCCAGTCCTGGGCTCCACAGTACAAGAGGGACATGGAGCTCCTGGAGCAGGTTCAGCATAGGGCAATGAAGGGACTGGAGAATCTCACTTGAGAGGAAAGGCTGAGGGAGTTTGGCCTATTCCATCTCAAGAAGAGACAACTGACAGGGGACCTCATTAACGTATTCAAATACATGAACAGAAAGTGCCCAGATGATGGAGCCAGGCTCTTCTCAGTTGTGGCAACCAATAAAACAAAAGGTAACAGGCAAAAACTGATGCGCAGCAAGTTCCACCTGAATACAAAGAAGTAGTTCTTTATTGTGTGAGTCACTGAGCGCTGGAAGAGATTGCCCAGATACGTCATGGATTCTCCCTCACTGGAGGTATTCAGGAGCCGTCTGGGCACAGTCCTGAGCCACGTGGTCTAGGATGGCCTGGTCTGTGTAGGGAGGTTGGACCAGATGACCCATTGTGGTCCCTTCCAACCTAACTGATTCTGACCCATTGTGGTCCCTTCCAACCTGACCAATTCTGTGTTCTTTTATCTGCCTAAATATCCTTATCAGCCTTCACAAAACTTGCAAAACCTTGGTATCCCCAACTCGTTTCCAATATATCAATTATGACTGAAATTCACCACCGTGAACCAGTAGGGGAATGAGTGATAGAAACTGTAAGGATTGCATAAGGAGCACAGAGAACAAGGCTAAAAGCTCAGAAATTTCATAGCTGAATTAAAAAATGAAGTTCACTAGTTTTCATCTTCTTTTTCTGAATTGGAATTTTATAAGCCAAAAAACCAATGTGAATTTCACAGGAGAGTGAAAACTCTTGAAACTCTTTAACATATCTATACTCAAGAAACTCTCTTTCCTTACAGGGATTATTGTCCATCTTACTTTTTTGCACTCTGGTCAGATGACTTTCTCTTGGGTCATGCCTGATGGTGAACAAAGAT